GGTCAGATGACTAGCCTACTGTTCATTTGTGGTAGAGTCAGGTTTGGAACTCGGGAAATCTGATTTCAGAGTTGGTAAACTTCAAGGTCACACTGTTCTTTATGGTGGGGTCAGCCGGCTTTAGTGGAGACAAAGAATTTCTCAGCTCACCTACTGGTGTCCCCTCCCTCAGGGGTGACTGTTTGACATAGTCTGCATCTTACGATATGGTAGTTTTAAAAAAAGGTACGAGATGGCAAGAGGGACGATCGGGGAAGGAACTGGGTAGCGCTCCGGGATCCTTGAACAGATTTCTCTCACAAGGCTCCACCTTTGCTTTCTAAATAAACCCTGACTGCTGGAGGCAGAGGGGCTCTGGTGGCATCATAGTTACTCACTGGGCTGCCAGCCACAAGGCCAGCAGTTTGAAACCACCAGATGCTCCCCAGGAGAGCTACAGTCTGTGAAGAGTTACAGTCTTGGAAAGTCCTACACTGACCTACAGGCAGCTAGGCAGCAGCGTCAACTCGATGGCAGTGAATTTGGTTAATTTGGGGACTGCAGGCAGGGCAGCTTTGCTGACTGGTTTTTCCCACCGTCATAGCTACAGAAGCCACCAGCCTCTCTTTTTAGCCTTTTGCAACCCCACAAACAACAACAGAAGGGAACGCTGCCCAGAGCTCCGCCAGCCTCCCATTGTTGCTAGGGTGGAGTCCATCCTTGCAGTCACCGTGTCAGTCCATCTTCCCCGCTGACAAGGCACTTTATGTCCTTCTTCAGGGACGGGCCGTCCTGATAGCATCTCTAAAGCACATGACACAAAGTCCTGACAGCCTCGCTTCTAAGAAGCATCCTGGCTTCCTTAGTCCAACAAAGGCCTGTTTGTGCCTCTGTCGTGTCACGGTCCACTCACTGTGCCTCACCAACACCCTCACTTCGGGCTTCCTTGTTCTTGTTCAGAGTCTGCAAGCCTATGAAATGATTAGAAATCCCTTGACTTGCGTCAGGTGCACGTTAGTCTTCCAAGTGGCCTCTTTACCTTTTAATTACTTTAAAGAGGTCTTTTGCAACTGATTTGCCCATGACAAGATGTCATTTGATTCCTTGACTCCTGCTTCCTTGGACATGAATTGCGGATACAAGTAAATTAAAAGACTTGACAAATTCACTAGGTTCTCTGTCCACGTGTGAGGCCTTTTGTTTTCTTTGTTAAGGAGTAATTCACACTGAAGGCTGTAGTCATTGATTTTCACCAGTCAGTATGTCAAGTCCTCTTCACCTTCAGCAAGCAAGGCTGGACCCCCTGTTCCTCACAGCGTCTTAATTAGCCTTTCTTCAATCCTGATGTGGCGTTCTTCTTCGTACAGCCCAGCTTTCCATAGCAGTTGCTCAACACACAGAGAAAATACATATGGTGAAAGGATACGCCCCCAAGCCACCTTTCTTAAGTTTAAACCAGGCAGTATCCCGTCCCCCACCTTTTAAAAAATGTATGTGCTTGTCTTTGAAAATGTAGTAATATTGTTAGACGCCCCCTCATTTTGCTTTGCTTTTAAAACAGCTGCTCTTTGATGTATGTATGGGTTCCGTATGAGCACAAACAAGGGTTTCGGAATTCCTGTTCTTTGCAGTGTTAGGCATAGCCTGCTATGGTCCACACGGTCGAATGTCCTTGCATCATCAACAAAACACAGGTAAGCATCTTCCTAGCATTCTCTACTGTGAGCCAAGATCTATCTGACAGCAACAATATTATCCCTTATCCCGTGTCCTCTACTGAATCCAGCTTGAGTTTGTGACAGTTGTCTGCGGATGTACTGCTGCCATTTTTGACTCCTCCCAAACCGAGCTCACTGCCATCGAGTCAGTGTTGACTCAAAGAGCCCCCCTGAGGGTTTCCAAGACGGTTGATGGGGGTAGAGAGCCCAGTCTTTCTCCTGCGGGGCTGCTGGCGGTTTCCACCTGCTGGCTGGCAGGTGGACTGCAGCCACCGCACCCCCAGGGCTCACGGTCCACTGTCTTCAGCACAATGTGACTTGTGTGTGATCTTGATTGTATACATAGCGATATCTCCCAGTCGTTCGCCAGTGAGCTGTTGTCTAAATTCCTTGGCTCAGAAGAGCGTGGCATCCATTTGTTGATTCATCTCAGTCGTATTCTGTTAATTCCTAGAGCCTCGTTTTTCCATCACGCTTTCAGCACTCCTTTGGATTCTTCCTTCAAGATCATCAGTTCTGGATCCTATGTCACCTCCTGAAATGGTCAAACACTGACCACTTCTTTTGGGTACAGTGATGGTGCATTCGTTCCATCTTCTTTTGATGCTTCCTGCATCAAAATGTAATATTTTGCCCATAGAATCCTTCAACGTTACAACTCAGAGCTTGAATTTTTTCCCTTCAATTATTTTTTTTGCAGCTTGAGAAATGTTAAGTTTATTCGTCCGTTTGGCTTTGCAGCTCCCCAAACCTTTGCACATTTCATAACCCTTTACTTTGTCTTTCTGTACCGCACTTTGAAGTCGCTTGTTCATCTCTTTTACTTCATTTCTCCCATTCACTTTAGCTGCTCTCCGTTCAAGCTTTTAAAAATGTCTCTAGTGTTTTGTTCTTTTAAAAATTTTATTAGCCATTGTATTGGGGGTCTCTCAGAAATCTTACAACAATCCATCATCCAATTGTATTAAGCACACTTGTACTTATATGTTGCCATCAACGTTTCCAAAATATTTTCTTTCTACTTGAGCCCTCTTTTTTTGTTGTTGTTTAAGTTTTGGTATCCACGTTGGTCTTTTATTTTCTTTCCTGTATTTAAGGGCCTTTTGCTTTCGTCACGTGGGTGTGACGTCCTGGACACCATACTTCAACCAATCTCATCTTTAGTAGTTAATGGCTCAACGCGCCAAGTCTTATCTTGAGAGGGTCTCTACGTTTGGGTGGCATATATTTGAGGTTGTACTTTGGCTCTTGTGGACTTGTTTTGAGTTTCTTCAGCTTAGGCTTGCACGTGCATTATGAGCACCTGATGGTCTAGTCGGTTCCACAGGTGGCCCCTAGCCTTGCTCTGACGGATGATCATGAGCATTTCCATCATCTCTTTCTTTCCAAGGAAGGAGTCCATTTGATTCCCAGTTATTCCATCCAGGGGTTTCCACTTGTCTATTCACTGTATCTATTGTTACAGAAAGGTATTTGCAATGAAGTTGTTGGTCTGGCAAAATTCTATCATGTCCTCTCCAGCATAATGTCAATCACCAGCCATATCTCCGACCACTGGTCCTTCGTCATTCCAACTTCTACATTCCAATCACCAGTAGTCAATGGTTCCCTATCATCATGCATTTTTATATGGTTTGCCATTTCTGCCTGCACTCACTAATGTATTTGCTCATCTCTGTTATCTTTCAACTAGAAAGCACTCTCCTTGAGGGCATGGCTTTGTTTTGTTCCCTGCGGTGTTCCCAGGGCCTGGAGCAGCACCTTTGGTGCTCATTGGAATGAATGAGCTGATGGAGTACGGAAGACCCCTTTTTAGTCTTCTGGGGGGTGGGATGGGGGAATTAGGGCACCAGAGGAGACGGTTTCCCTAGTTGATTAATGAAGCAGTGGACCAAGCCAGTGGATGATCACCTGTGGTAGGAGGAAAGAGTCTGCCTTAGGCCATCTTCCTAGGAGGGAAGTGATCCGAAGAGAAAACCTACCCTGATGTACTGGAATTCTTCCACAGGTGACTCCGACAGGGGAGATAACAACGGGATGCTGCTCATTCCACTTGGCTTATGTTTCCTGGTGATAAGAAGCAGTTTATTCCGGATTGCAACCACAATTCTCAGCTCTCTGCTATGGTGAGTGTTAATGGCATACAAGTGGCAACCTGGAAAGAGAAGTAGATGATCCTGAGCAGATGGCAGGAGGATTTGGAAGTCCCCCGGTATGGGGCTTACCTAACATCCTTGAAAACGAAACAAAGTCCAGGAACTAGGGGCTAAGGCAGGAGGGCCACGAACGAACTAAGAATATTAAAGTAGGTTGAATTACGGACAGTTCCAACAAGTCATATTCTCTCTATGCTAGCACTGTGAACTGAGGTTCATTCATGGAAAGCTACCATTTCATATGAATTAACATGAGGGGAGATTGGCACCCTAAGAGTCAACGGAGGCAACAATCTCCACTCCGAGATTTGTTCTTGAGCTTCATTCACCTCCCAAACATTCCATGGCCCCTACTTTCCTCTCACCCTCCACACGGTTTTCAATCTTTCGAGTCCTCCCTAAAGAACACCAGGGCCCTCTTTATGCTGTTTCCAGGTTAAAAAACACAGCCGTCAAATAAAACCGCGGTTCACTTTTATTTCCGGCAGACCCAGGAGCAGCCTGAGAAGCTCGGACACGGAAACCACTGGAAGACGAAGCTCCACATCACCTTTGGTTTTCTCCAGCTTATTTTCTCGGCAGTCACACTTGCTTTTCACGGCCTGTTTGCCCTCGATGATGCCCTTTTGCACAGTGCTCAGTCTGAAGACAAAGAGGCGGGCATCCTTTCCTGGGGAGATGGCAAAGAGGGGAGAGGAGATTGACATGACAAAGGCAAGTGAGTGTGAAGAACGTGGAAAGGGCAGGTGGTGTGGGAAAAATGACAGCCGGAGGAGTTTGGATTTGAAATGTTCCCAAATGCAGGAACAACCCCAGGTCGCCTTTACCTGACCAGGCAACAAGGTCGCCCTGTTCTCTGTCCTTCATCACCCCTCCCCCGAGATCAGATGGGATACCAAGACACCCCCGCCACGGGCCTCAGGACAGCAAGGAGCTGGCATGGCCCAGGCAGCCAGACCACTCTCGGTGCCTGCCAGAAGGCTAAATGCCTTTTCCGGGCCCAGCGCCCAATAAATACCACCTTTGTCTGCTCTGAGGACCAGCAGGTCCAGCGCCTCCAGCACCTGCATCTGCTTCACCGGCAGAGTCCTGTCAAACACCGGCACGGACGGAAGATCACCTGGAAAAGGGAGACCTGGTGACCCACATGCAGTCACAGCCCGGCCTGTGAAGCATGCTGGGAGGGAGGTTAGGAGCTGGGCCTCTCTAGGCTTCCAGAGCTTTCTAAAGGTCTGTGCAATCGTTCAAGCGCTATTCTCTTCTCACCTCGGGGATAAATGATCGTCCCCACCAAAAGGCATTCCAAACTCGATGGTGATGGTAGCAGGAGGGGGAGGTAACCTACAGTTTTCTCCTGCCTGCTTATCGAAGAGAAACCAACGTCTTCCAGTGAATCCCGCTTCTTAACGGGGCGCTAACTAAAGGTCTCACCACCAACTTAAGACAAAACCCAAAGCCAGACTAAGCTCAGTCACAACTTTAAGCATTTTTGTCTTTTTATGCAATGCTTGCGATTACCTTGTATTTTAGGTCGCTTAGCATATTTCTCAAGAAAGTAAAGTGAGCATTTCCTTTGGTATCTAAAGTGAACACAAACTCAATCTACCCTAACCGGTCCTCTATTATCTCCGTAATAGCTCGCCTACACTTTTCTCTGTTTTTCCACGTAGAAATATGAACTCTCCTCTTTAGACAAAAATATGTAAATCAAACTGGGAGACAAATATAAACGGAATTGCCCACATAATGGGAAAACAACAAAAAACAACAGCAGTCACACACAAAACCCAAATTGAAGTGAAAATGTTCGGGAAGATTTCAGGCAAATGGATAATTAAAGACATTTCATTTACCTGGTAGGATTTGTTCTGAGCTCAATGACAAAGCTCTTAACATCGATGGCAGTTTGCTTGGTTACGGAGGGACTCTAGGGCCTAGGGGGCTAAAAGAGTCACACTGTTCTAGAAGCAAAAAGGCCGCTGAGCTTGCCGCAGAATCAGAGAAGGCAGCCCAGGGCCGGTGTAGACCTCTCTGGGAGGAGGACTGGCTATCTCATTCTTGTCTCAACTGTGGTCGTGGCGTGGGTTTGTGCATCTAATCATGACTCAAGTACAAAGAGTCCAGAGGACATGCCTCTTCCAGAAATCTCCGTCGGGCACGGGAGTGCATCTACCCCAGGAGGTGGGGGAGCTTTCGCCATCGTCCTTGGATCTCCTGCTTCTACCGTAGTCCTGGGAGGGCTCTGGGTTTCTCAGAACACAGAACCAGGGGAGCGAGGCTGATCTTGAGTTCCCCTTGCCGATCGGGTCAATAGTAAATTTTATCATACCATCAGCTCCTTACCCCCTCCCCGCAAGGCTTTCAGAAAAAGAAATAGACTCTCGGGGTCTTTGTACTTGGCTGGGGGGAAAGTTGGCTTTCAGAACCTGGCATCACTGAAATACCTGTCGTCCGAATTGGCCGAATGAATATTTTATCATTTGACAGCAGCAGTAGTGGCGGCAACAGCAATGACAGCTAACGGACACCGCGGGCTTGCGGCCAGTGTTCGACATATTTAATGTCAATGTCCCCGTGGTCCTCGTTGGCTGGAGCTTCTAATACTCCCAAGGCACAAATGAAGACGCCGAGGTTCAGAGGTGTTCATGACTTGCCCAAGGCCACACCTTGAACTCGTAGAACCCACCTCTGGGCCGGGACCAAGCCTCGGCATCAAAACAGTACCGCTTTCCTACGGGAGCAGCGGCCATGTCCAGGACTAAGCCAGGGTAGAAACACCTCACTTAAAAGGGAACACCGAGGTATATTACGAACGAGGGGGCTTCAAGAAGTTCGTGGGAAAGTGGAATGAAAGGAGAATGGAATTTTCCCATAAACTTGTTGAAGCCCCTTGCCCTGTAGCTGCTAAGTGGCAGGCAGAGTAATTAGTATCTATTCTCCACCCTGTCTCCCTCAGATGGCTAAGTAGACACTTAGGACAGATGGCTAAGTAGACACTTCCCACAGAGGACAGGCAAGAGGAGGAGGACGGTGATGAGAAAGTGACATGTGGACTTTAATGACCGCTTCATATCATGTTTTTTTCTTCTTATACTCTTTTATGGAGCAACGCAATCTAGAATCCGCTTTCCTGTTCTTTTAAAACATGGAGAGAGCATCTTTAATCAGTCTTTAGATCCCCTTCAAAGTAGGTTTTGCTGTGCTACGGGCACAAAGGATGTTGACTTTTCAAAATGACCTTGAAAGAGGTAGACTTTGGTGTGGATGAAGTTAATGAAATTAGGCAAAGGCTAATGGGATGGAGTGGAACTCGGCCTGACATGAAATGGAGGGATTCACTCATGGAAATAATTTGCAATATGATTAGGCACAGATGAGAAAAAGGTAAACAAAGACATAACAAGCGACCACGGCTTAAAAGCACAGCAAAGACCACAAAGCCTGCCCGAAGGGTTGTTTTCCTTCTCGGCAAAAGCAAACAGGAAAGCTTCTCACAAAAGGATCGGCTGAATAATTAAATCTAAGCTGAGTAATAAACACATCTAAGGAATAAACCAAAGTGTCTGCACTATCACCTGTTTCAGATTCAAATTCAGGTCCAGAGGAAACCATTTTCCTGGCCAATCGCAGTAACGTCTCTCTGACACCTCCATTCATTATGACTTTATTTTATGTTTTCATTTAGTTTTAGACACAGAAAGATGAAAATTTCAGAAAAGAATTTGGTTGTCTTGTTTTGGGTTTTGCATTTAAAAAAAGAGAGAGAGAGAGGGATTGCAAATCATTTTTTCTTCCTATTTTTAAGCAGGCCTTTCAAACAGTCACTGTGAGATACACTCTCTCTTTCCCAAAGTGGCAGGCAGAATTTGACAGTTTTCTAATCAGTTTCCCACAATGACTTGCCCAGGACTTTTGGGGGGAGTCTATGCTAAGGTGAACACAAAAATAGTGATCCTGCTGAACTGAGTGAAATGCAGTTGGCTTAGGGGAGGCTACTGGAGGATGACCCCCCCCACTGGCTCTGGGTCCAGAGGTGCCACTTTGCCAACCGTGTGAGGAGGGGCAAGGCGGACCACCTTCTTTAGGCCTCAGTGTCTCCATCCTGGCACGGGGGCGTCCTCTAGGTCTGCTTGGGTGGGAACTTAGAAGTGAAAAAATACAGGTATAAATATATATTTGTTTGCACTTTTGGCAAAATCGAAGGCTTCTATGATCTTTTAGGAAGCTCATCAGGACATAGCAATGAAGACGGCTGCCGCGTAATAGGTTATTGCTATGCGCCAGACAAGGCTTTAAACACTTAACCTGTATCTAAGGGCCACGGGCAGCCCCCTGTTACTGAATAGCATCATCCCCATTGCGTTCCTTCATCTATTAAAAACGCAGTTAATAACCTGTTTCCCAGGCACTTAGAAAACTACCCCCTGATTTCTTTTTAGTGAAATCTGAGGAGGCTCTGAGAGGTTACGTAATTTCTTTCCGGCCACAAGGATGTTTAAGGACGGGTTTGAGGTTTCTAAACATATGGTTTTCATTTAATTTCTGAATTTTTAAATGGGTCTACCATTTATGAGACTTGTGATACGGATCAAAAACAATCGACATGATTAGAGAGGAGCCCATTATAAATCGGTCCAGCGCCAGCTCTCTCCACACTACAGAAGGTCCAGCACAGTGCACAGAGCAGGCACCCTGCACAGGGGCTGAGTCCACGGGGTGAGGCAGCGAGTGCAGTCAGTGCTGAAGGGCAGGTGCACATGGCACAGGGCTGGGCTGTAATGTTACTCTCCCAGTGCCAGGCTGAAGCCTTCCAGGGCAACTAGAGACTATGCAGTCTGAGGAGGTGCCTTTGGAAGATGCTGTCCTGGTGCCCATCGCCCTCTCAGAGGACCGTTGCTGATATTCAGCCCCTTCAGGCCACATGAGGTAATGCAGAAGTAGCCCAAGGGCCTGGAGGCTAAATCCCCGTGCTGTGAATGCCTTCACAGCATCCTCACCAGAGGTTTGTCTGATGGACAGGGAACGGACTCTTTCCAGACCGGCTGATCTACCTGTCCGTCAGAGGGTTGATTTTATATCGAGCTGAAGTATGTCTTCCTGTCAATCTTTTTGTTGCTCTCACCCCAAACTCACTGCCATTACATGGACGCTGAAGGATGAGGCTGCCGACTCCTGTAGAGATGGAAGCCTGGGAACCCAAAGGGGCAGGTCTACTTTGTCCTGTAGGGTTCCTAGGAGTTTATTGTTATAACCATGAAAAATAGGGTTTTCTAAGATTCTGATTGCTTGTTTAAATACCAACTACTTTCAAAATAAGAAACCTTTTTATTTTATTCTTATTTTTAGAGGTGTCGAGAGAGAGGAGAGCATGGCTTGATGTCCAAAGACCTCAAACACAGAGGTTCTGAATCGCATGGTCTGTGTTGATTCCAGGTAGAACGTTGGACTGGTGCTAAGGACTGGCTCCACGAGGGAGATCCTTCTTGCGGGTCATGTGATGGCTACAGACCAATCAGAGCTTGGGGGAAGGGACACATCTGTCCTGCACGGCTCTCCCTCCAGCCGGCTTCCCTCTGCTTGCCCTAAAACAAAGGGTTCGTTTGATAAGGAAGTGAGCTTTTGCTAACCTCTCTCCAGAAGGCACGTTTATGGTTTAACGGGCATTGACCGGTGGTCACCCATGGCAGAAATACTGCAAGTCACACAAATAAAAAACATTTGTAGGAGCGGCTACTCACTAACCATCCACTAGCAAGACGCCAGCATCAGTGGAGACCAGCAAGGCCTGGCCCCAGGGATCTGCACACACGGCTTCGTGAGGGAAATTACTGCAGAAGCACTGGGGCTCCCAGGGCTGCGAGGCGACACAAGCATTGGAAAATGAGTGCACCAGAGAACGTAGACTGCGGCCTATCCAACAACTCCTGAAGCAGAAACACAGACACCCCCGTGGGAGCGGGCACCCCAAACCCCGGAGGTCTGGGGCTGCACACACATGTGCAATCGGGAAGGAGTGAGTTCGAGTGTGTCTGGTCCCAGGAACCGGCCCTCGATTGTCCCAGTGGTCCTTGAAGGAAACCAAAGGATTGAGAACAAGGTTTTTGATAAGCAGTTTTTTCCCCCCTTTAACACCTGGCGATTGGATCAATTGGTGTCTATCTCTTGGCGAATTCATATTAGTTCAACCGAAAATGAAGTCCCACGTAACTATAAAAACAAGTCAGGTTCCTGTGTTGCTGATTCAGCAAATTATTAAACCATACACAGTGCACAAGACTGATACTGTCTCAATAGGAAAATGGTTATTGTTCTATTTAAGGCTGAAAAACAACAACAACAACAACAACAACAACAAACCCTTAGGAGAAAACGCAACAACAGCAAGTGCCACCATCAAACGTATGCGCCCTCTTTTGTGCCACATCCACGTTTTCTCCTTTTGTCACAATTTCATTTTCCTTTCGGGCATCAAGAGCTCAGAGCTGTGTGCGTGCATGTGCATCTGCCCGGAGCCCGTGGGTTCCCATTTAGCGAGTTGTTAAGTCACACTGGAATTGTGAGCATTTTCATTTAGAATTATTCACTTCTCTCCAAACCACTGGGCTTAGTCTCAAAGGACAAAGCACGTTCGTGGAGATTCTCAGGCATGAGACTAAGTCCTACAACTTCACTTTTACACCCAATTAACACAAAGGCCTGATGTCCCGTCTGGGGCTATTTGAGAGCATGTGTGTTTAAGTGTGTGTTTGTACACAGGCACATGCTAGCATACCCTAAGTAGATGTGCAAGGCTCCAAGGCCCGCCTTTCAGGTTGTCATGAGGGATGGAGGTAAGTACTGTGTGTATCACTGCTATCTTAGAAGAATCATGATGTCCCTTTGAGAAACCTAAAGGAAAACAAAAAACTCACTGCCACTGAGTCAATTCTGACTCCTAGGGACCTGACAGGACAGGGTAGCACTGCCCCTGGGAGTTCCCCAGACGGTAACTCTTGACGGGAGAAGAAAGCCTTGTCTTTCTCCCATGGAGAGGCAGGTGGTTTCAAACTGCTGACCTTGCAGTTAGCAGCCCAATGCATAACCACCCTGCCACTGGGGCTCCTTGGAGAAATTCACAAGCCTCCGAAAGAATACTCACTTGCTAGGATGAGGCTTATACTGTTGGGAAAAGATCACCTGAAAAACATTTTATAAACGGAAAAGGCTATACAAATGTAAGTCATTAAGCAGACGGCATTTCCCCAGGGTAATAGCTGGCAATCCTGAGTTTGCGACTTACAGTTAGAAGACATGAAAAGCAAATTTAATATACACGCCAACCAGGCGACAGACAGACATCAGAGGTAACGGGAAGACAGAGCAGTCAGCTCTAGTATAGCTCAATGTTCCCTGGCCACAGGGCGTGATTCCAGAAGAGTTACGCAGAAAAGAGGTCTGGATCCGGAAGATCCCAGGGTCCTTTAGAGGAACCATGGAGGGCTCATGGACGCCTGAGGAACCCGTGGGTGCACTTGGCCACGTGTCCATTCTCCTGGCCTGGGGGTGGCCGATCCCATTGCTTTCATGGGTTTGCCAAGGGGCCATAGAGCAGACTCAGATCTGGCCACAGAGGCTCCGGTCTGATGACTCATGACATTTGCCAGTGTCCACCAAGGTCTCAAGGTCTCCCTGCCTGAACTCAGAACTCTAAATCGATTCCCCAGAACAGCTTATTACGAAGGCTATTGAATCTCATTGGAATTCGGTATTCAGAAAACGCTCGGCAATCCTGCACATGCCTGCTGTCCAGGTGAACAGGTAGGTAGCGGGATTGTGGCACCCTTTGGGAAGGATGCCTTAACCTCATGCCTTCCGTTGCTTGTGATTCTTTAGCATCATTTGCATCTGTAATTCACCACTCTTTCCTGAAAACCAGACTTTAAAGCATGTGAACTGTGCAGTTCGAATACAAATCACTTATACCTTTATCAGGAAGGCGAAGGCATCTATCACTATTTTACTTTTCGGACACTTCTCTCGTGATGGGCTGCCTTCAAATTTGTTTCCCGTAAATACTTAAGATGTACACTGAACACAGACATAATGATTGAGTTACTAAGCGCATCTGGTGGTGGTTTGCAGTACAAAAATCACGCGCAAGTCTGTACTTCAACTCATTTGTTTTCCCCTCCCTCTTCTTCATTATCATCTAGTTATTTTTCCTGCAGAAAATGGAAACACGAAGATGTCGGCAGATAGGCCACCGGAGCGGCTAGCTGGCTGATTGAGCAGTCAGTCCTCCGCCGTCGCACCCTGACCAACAACTAGGAACTTGCTAGCAATGTAAATCCTCCGGCCTCACTCCAGACCCTGAATCATAAACGAACACACACTAGACCCGTCTAAGAAGTACTATTCTAGGGCTTTGCTGTGCAAAGTGTGGTCTGGGGTCAGCAGCACAGGCATCCCCTAGAGCTTGCTAGAAATGTAGAGTCTTGACCCCCACCTCAAGCCTCTAGAATCAGAATATGCATCTGATCAAGATGTCCAGGTGAGCTGGGCACACACTCACGTTGGAACATCACTGTGGACAGTGGCCTGCCTGAGCAGGCCTGGCCCGGCAGCTCTGCTCCACTTCGTCACGCAAAGACATGTGCACCCCAGAGGCAGCGGAGGGACTCCCACCGAGCATCGACCCCACGCTATCTGAGACTTCCCCGGAGAGGACTGCACAGTCGACACACTCTTCCTCTCTCTGAACAGGAGCAGCTCTGTGCTGGAGGAAAGATGTTCACGGCTCTACTTGGAAGGGTCATCAACTCACCTCTTTCTTACAGATCCCCGAAGCTGCCAAGTTGGACGGAGCATCCCCCCTCACAATGGATTTCAGTTTCAGGGCCTTAAGAAGCAGAGATCTCTTTTAAAGTTTGTTATCAGGCCGTTGAAGAACAGCAGGACAAACAACCATGAGTTGCAGGAGAGTGGCTGCAGCCGTCGTCATCTCGGGCTGAGGTTGGAGGTTCCCCCACTGCTTTATCATCGAACGTGAATATGGTAACGCCTGGATTACAGTATTCGAGTTGGGATCACCCCACATACAATGATTTTCAAGCGGGGGAAGCCCTGAAAACCGCTATCTAGGGCTCTCTCCGTCTTGATGGTATCAGATTCTGTAGAGGCAGGATGGGGGTATTTTAAACAAGTACCAATGTTGAAAGATCTCTGAACCGGTAGCAGCTATTTGGGGAGAAAGTTTTCCCTTTGCCTCTGAAGCTTTCCTGGATCACAGGACACCTCCCTTCATCCACCTGCTTGGTGAGCTCCCTGCTTTGGGGTCAGAAATGTCTCTGCCGTTGACAGCACTCCCTCCTGCAGTGGCAAAGGCTCGGGGCAGGGATCTGTGTTGCTTCCCAGAACTGAGATACCCAGGGCTGAGTGTCACGTGGGAGTGAGGCAAGGGCAGTGCGGTTTGTGCCATAAGCAGGAATCAGGTGATGACAGTGCTCTTCTGAGTGACATGCCACTCTACTTACTCCTGCAAAGGATGTTCCCCAAATTGGCATCCTGGTCCCCAGAAAATTCCCAGGAAGCTAGCAAGTGGTGCATGCTCTCTTGACCACAGGGAGCTCGGAGCTGGATGCTGCAGCTGCTTTGCAGAACGTTTGACTCTCCTGCACCCAGGACTATGTCTACCTGTGCACCTTGGCCACGTTTCCCACAATAACTCCATGGAAGGGACCAGGTGCCACAGGAATATGCAAACATGAGCATCTTTGCAGGTGGGCCATCAAGTTTGGTTGGGACTCACAACTACACACCTCACCAAAAAAAAAAAAAAAGGGAAGAATAAAACCCACCTGCCCTATTCTAACAAATTCTGCCTGGCGAGCCTCCTCCTTCTTCCGTGCCGACTTGGGAGATTCTGGTAAGACATCGCTAAAAGACCGTCTATTGAGCATGTTCTATGAAAGAAGAGGAAAAAATAAAAGATGAATGTCACAAAGGGGTGTCACATCTTATCCTCTGGCTTCTCATTGTGCTGAAATGTATTGGTCCTCGCTCTACATCCTATACTTGCTCGTTCGGTAAGCGGTTACGGAGCACCTACTATGTGCCAGGGTCCAACCCAGATGTCACCAGACAAACAAACACACTGCCTTCAAGTCGATGCAACTCATAGCAACGCTGTAGGACGGGGCAGAGCCGCCCCATGTGAGTTTCTGAGACTTTATAAAGTCCTCACAGGAGTAGAAAGCATTTTCAGACTGCCAGCCTCGTCGTCAGCGGCTCACCTCATCGGCCCTGTGCCTCCAGGCCTCCTAAATGCCAGGGATTAAAACAAGTCCACAAGTGGCCAGTGAGGGCTATGCCTCGGGGGAGGGCGCGAGGCTTGAAATCAGGCAAACCAGCCGCTCCGTTTCTTACTAACTCATCAACAGCGAGGTCCAGGTCACCAGAGGGTGCCCTTCTCAGAGAGTGGCTGCCCGCCGCTGGAGCACCACTTGCCGATGGCATCCCTGGGATGTGACACACTGCTCCACTCGGTAACCTAGGACAAGTGAGGTCCTTAGAGTTTTGGCTTAGCTTCTTTACGGGGTTCATCGCCAGGCCCTAGGTAGGTTAGGAGGATTCAACGAGGCCATGAATGCAAGTGTAGTGGTTGGCACACAGTAAGTAAGTGTGCTGGACACACACGAACTAAGTCTCTTCCAAACCATAGTCTTAGAACTGGGTACACTTATTCAATCAGCAAGTATCGACTGCGCTCCTACAACTCTGCCGGTGTGGGGAAGGTGATGGAGAGTCCCTGTCCTTGTGGAGACCGGAATCTAAGTGGGGAGAGAGATCGGATGACCACGGGTGTTAAATTCTGTGAAAGAGAAGTGTGTGGGGCTATAAGAGTATGTAACGGGCCTCTCCGTTTCCATTGTCCGGATCAGAGAAATCCCACCTAGGGCACCTTCAGCCGTAACCTGGAGAACCTCTGGACTCATCGAGGCCCCCCTCTGCATCCTGCCCTGACGAGCAACAATGGAATGCACCGAGGACAGATTTTTAGGCGGCCTGGGAGGCGGGTGGCCTAATCCCTGCAAGCAGTGTAGGAGTTACGGGCAGTCAGAAGTTAATGTCCTGCTCAAATGACGTGGGGCCTGCGCTGAGAGGAAATGACTGCAGAGGAGTACTTGGAGCAGCGGTTCTCAACCCGTGGGTGGCAAAATGACAGTGATGAAGTAGCAACGAAAATAATTTTATGGTTGGGGGGTCACCACAACATGAGGAACTGTCTGAAAGGGTCGCAGCATGAGGAAGGTTGAGAACCACTGACTTAGAGCATGGCGAGCTTCTGCATCTCCCCTGGGTGAGCTCCCAACACCGGATGCTGCCTCCATTTACACCCATCATTAATGATATTTCTTGCATTTTATGACTGTGTGGATTCTACAGGAGTCTCCTCCCCTGTTGTGTATTTCTTGGTTAAAGAGGGGTAAAGTTTTCCAACAGTGATTATATTTCCCTGCTGAACGACCGAGTTCCCAACATCTGCTGCGTTCACACTGAGTTTGGGAGCCTGGCAAGAGGACACATGTGTCCCTCAGGGCGCTGAGTTCCTCCAGGAGGGTGCTGGGTCTGATCCGTGGGGCTATGCTGAGGCCTGGGAAGTATCTGGCACAAAAAGGTTGGCATTAAGTGCAAGTGTTAATTTCTTTCCTAAACAAGGCCCTGCATCTTCAGAAAAACGTTTTTTAAAGCACCCGCTCTCCTTCTGGGAGCCCTGGCGGCATAGTGGTTATGAGTTCAGCTACGATCTGCAAGGTTAGCAGTTTGACACCACCAGCCACCCCTCGGGAGAAAGCTGGGCTTTCTACTCTCGGAAAGAGTTACAGTCTTGGAGACTCATGGGGGCAAGTCTACGCTGTCCTGCAGGGTTGCTATGAGACAGCACAGACTCGATGGCAGTGAGTCGGGGCTTTTGTTGGCTGTTTGCTTACTCTCCCTCAACCATCCCCATTTTTGCCTTATCTGTCGGTTCTACTAATGTTGAGTTACTATCACCAACACCCCCCTCCAAACAAGACTCTGCAACGTTCCCGGGACAACGGAGTTACAATAACCCCCCCACCCCCACGCCCTGCCCATGTACACCTTAACATCCGCGGAGCCTGGCTCTACGACACTCACGCTCCTTTATCAAAGCACCCAACGCTCCTCTGCTTGGGGTGGCCCCAGTACAGCCTCGACAGCAAGAATAAGGGGGTCTCCTTAGTTTTTCTAACCAGGACCTCGTGGCTAAACTTCTCTTTTCAACTCAGACACCATGGAAAGCAGAGCGGTCTGCTGATCCGGGCTTACCTTGTGCACATCTGGCATCAGATCCTGGTGCAAAGAGCGAATCAACATATCCAGGGTACGCCGGCGTTTCTGGGCAAAGGTTGCGGTTTCCAGAGTGGCTTTCTCACCGTTAATTACTAAGCAAATCAAATTATAAAGAAAAACACAGACATTAGCACAGTGAACCCTACCTACTTATCAACACCGGTTTTGCTATTGCCAGGATCTCTCCTTTATGAAACAAGGCTTTCAAAAGCTCTTGATTTCTCTATACAGATGCAAAGCAGCGATACATATGCCAGTTTACCTGTCCTATTGGACTGAACAAAGGGCGTATCTTTTTATCTGAAGCTTTCTTTAGCACTACACTCGATCATCAATCTGCCCACTCACTCATCATAGCCACCCCCTCTCCCATCTGTCTGTTCATTCAATCATCTCCCCACCCACCCACTCATCTAACACAGGGAAGCAAAACACTAGATGTCATTCAGCGGGGACTGAAAATAAACTTGCTGCATCTTGTTAGAAAATGGAAGCGTAATTGAAATGGAATACATATCTGCTGACGTCAGGTGGACTGGACTGAAAGCACAGAGTGCCAGAAAGGGGTTCTCCTGTGCTTACCGACATGCAAGGGCATTCGACAGTGCGGGCCATAAACTATGGAGAACATTGTGAAGATGGGAAGTCTGAAACATTCATTGTTTTCATGAGAAACTTGTACATAGACCAAGAGGCAGTGGTTTGAATAGACGAGGGGCTACTGAATGGGTTAAAACCAGGAAATGTACGCATCGGGTTGTATCTTTTCAGGATATTTATTCAGTCTAGATGCTGATCATATACTCCAAGAGCCAGGCTAGCTGAAGGGAATGCGGCAGCAGGGTTAGGAGAAGAACTTATTAACAACCTGTAATATGCAGATGACACAACCGGGCTGGCAGAAGGGGAAGAGGGCTTGAGGTACTTATTGATGAAGGATCAACAAATATAGTCTTTAAAGTGGATTGCAACTCAATGTAAAGACAACACCCCCCCCTCACAACTGGACCAATAAGCAGCATCACGGTAAATGGAGAAGTGACTGCACTTGTCCAGGATTTCATCTTACTTGGATCCCCAGCCAGTTCTTATGTATTCAGTGCACTGCACTGGGCCAATCTGCTGCAGAAGATCTCGTTAAAACGCCGACGAGCAGAGCATATCACGCTGAGGGCTGCAGCGTGCCTGCTATTTTCAGTCACCTCACCCGCATGGGAAAGCTGACCGTGAGAAAGGAAGAACAGAGGACTGGTGCACCTGAATGAAGACGCTGGCGAAGAATATTGACATTACCACAAACTGCCAAAGGAACAAATTGGTATCGGAAGAAGTACAACCAGGCTGCTCCTTTGAAGCAAAGATGGGGAGACTTTGTCTCACGGACTTCGAACATGTTATCAGGAGGGAGCCGTCCCTGGGAAAGGACGTCATGCTTGTTCAAATAGAAGGTCAGAGAGAAGACCTTCATTGAGAGGGACCGACACACTGACTGCCCCGAGGACCTCACGCATAACCGCCCGTAAAGACGGCACAAGACCAAGCCGTGCTTTGTTCTGTTGCCCACAGACAGGGTGGTTATTAGTTCAAGCCAACTCAATGCCTCTAACAAGAAGCAGAATAGTGGGGAACTTCCTTCTGGGAAACAGCCGACGTTTTAGTGGTTGACTAACCAACTAGGAACTGATCATGGAATTTCCAGTTACACATTGGAGCACAGAATAGGAAATGTGCAAGGGAGGCTAGGAGTTTGTAGCCAAGACAATTATAGGTTCGAATCTCAGTTCTACTGCTGGC